TAGTCATTGCGGAAATATGCGTAGATGCGCAGATAAGCAGACGGACCAAATGCCGATGGCGGTCACCGCAATGCCGACACTGACTCTGTAACCAATGGCGATGCGTTTGACAGTGCCGCACGTTTAAAACTGCTCAAACCCCGTGGTAAAAAAAGCTTTCTTTTTTATATTTTCTTGCTCACGTACGAAACTGGCAGTTGTCAGAGCTGTAAGAAAAAGGCCGAACGCAACTTTCCCAACTGGTCGCTACGCTGGGCGGCGCTGAAACGGGGTGCAGCAGGAATTCAAAGGTGGCCAATATTAGCGGAAATTCCTGAAGTTTAGACCCACCGCGACGCCTTTATACACATTATTTTGCCTTTTTCTGTGCGACTTTCGTTATGAAAGTTTCACAGGTGATAGAAGAATGGTTGAGAGTTACAATTTAGTAAAAACCAGAAATACGAGAAGTTTTGCTACAAACGCGATTTTTCGACTCTCATCTCCCCTTAAGTGGGAACAGATACGATGCGCACAGGCCCTATGCAAAACAATGCAAACCACATCATGTGCTCAGGTGCCATTGTGTGACGACAATAACAATGCATCCGACTCCTGCGATGGCAGTGCTAATGCCACATATGTGGTTTCAGTTTCATGCGATTTTAATGTACAGACTTTCTTTGTTTCCGTTTTCACTTTTTTGCCCCGCCGCGGTGGTCTAGTGGCTAAGGTACTCGGCTGCTGACCCGCAGAACGCGGGTTCGTATCCCGGCTGCGGCGGCTGCATTTCCGATGGAGGCGGAAGTGTTGTAGGCCCGTGTGCTCAGATTTGGGTGCACGTTAAAGAACCCCAGGTGGTCTAAATTTCCGGAGCCCTCCACTACGGCGTCTCTCATAATCATATAGTGGTTTTGGGACGTTAAACCCCACATATCAATCAATCAATCCGTTTTCACTTTCATTTGGCTTAATTTTTCTACCCCCTTTCCTTGTATTTTTCCTTTCTAGCTAACCTCTTGTAAACTGTTCTCAACTGTACTCCTGTTGGGGAACTGAAGAACACGAAGAAAGTACGAGCAGACAAACGCTTTTTGCTACTTTCATTGTTGATAAAGCTTGCCCTTTCTCCAACTAAAGGCTAGGGGTGGGGGAGATACCAGCTTTATACACTGACCTTTCTTTTCCACTTATCGCACTTTCCCCCTCCATGTCACAAGTTCTTTTGATTTGCTTTGAGTCATTGTGCCAAAAATTTTGTTTTTCCTTCTGTTGTTTACCTGAATGCCCCCCCCCCCCCGACAAGACTATCGCGTTCGCTGCACGAAAAGATCCATCGTTGTTGGTCGCTATAATATTTCGTCTTAACAGAAGAGGCCTGTTATGCAGTTAATCTTAAGCAGATTTTTTTTATTTGCATTGAGTCTATGGGAAAACAACAAAAAAAAAAACACTCCAACGTTGTTCGTCTTACACAAGAATTCATCTCAACAGAGCTTGTCTTAAGGGGGGGCGCGGCAAGTAAAGTGCCGATTTTGGTCAAAATATGCGATTTTCTGATTTATTTTTTTTCGTAATCTTCAGACCTTCAACTTCCTTGTTCTAAAATATTACAGCGAAACGTGCGCTACAAATCCCGCAAATAGTGTTTTTGCCGAGGCTAGTCGCCGAAAAGTGCGAAAAAAAAGCCCCTGAAACGGTGTTGTTCACGCCGCACAAACGCGCCAAGTTGTTGACCGTGGGCCGCCATTTTGGTAGCTTTGGAAAGAGGAGAAAGCCGGCTTCCCGATGGTCGCGGTCTCGTATTTCGCCGAGTGAAAATAAAAGCGCGAGGAGCAAGTAAAAAAACGAAAACGAAGAACGGCAATTGGCTACGCGGGTCACGTGGTAGCAGGCGCGACCTCTTACTGGTCAAAGCTGCGCCGCGCACCTTGGCAACCTTGGAAGCGCGAGCGCATCTGCGGCCGCCGTGTCGAGAATCATCCGGCGTGCGCTTCGTTTTTTGCCAGTTTGCTGTTTTTGTGATAGTTCGCGTGCTTTTTTTACCAAGCTTTGTTTACATCGGTGGTCTCTTCTGAGTGCTTGCTCATACTGCGGTGCTATGTTGCCGCAAAAAAAGTTCCGGAGCGTCCACAAGTACGGCAAGCGTCGGAAAGCTTGGAACAAAGGGCAGACGACTGCGGCTGCCGTCCCAGTCGCAGTTCCGGACGGAGCATGCTCTTCAAGCGTCACGGAGCCTCTACTCAGACCCTTCGCTGATTGTTGTGAGGCCGAGAGTGTGGAAGGTGCCACATCGTCGTATGTCAGACCGCCGGATGCCGTCGACCGTGATGGACGCTCTCGCGAACCCGATTGCGGTGGCACCGCGTCGGCAGCCGTTGCAACTCCGGGCGTGCGCGCGTCGAACATTCTATCGCGAGTTTCGGCCCAGATTCCGAGCAGTGAAGAAATCGCGCAGCGGGCGCAGACAAGGCGGGATGTTTTGGATGCCGTAGCATCGAAGTCCGCTTCAAAGCGGAAGCTCGAGCTTCTGAACGAAGGCTGCGACGAAAATGACGGCGGTAAGGACTCCACATTCTTCATTGTAAATAAGAAGATGCTGAACGGTCTGCTTTCGTCAGTAAAGTGCAACAAGTGCGACGAAGGGTCGATACGCCTCGAGACTACGCACTGCCTTGGACTCGCGGCGAGGATGGAACTTTTTTGTGACAATTGTGGCAGAGTGAACAGTGCGTGGTCGTCCCCGAGGTGCTCCGGGCAACAAAAAACGAACCCCTTTGAGGTAAACGTGCGTGTTTTGAGGGCTGTGCAGTCAGTTGGCAGAAAACAATCTGCCATAAATGACATTTTTTCTGCGATGGACATTTCGCATCGAGCACTGCACCACAAGTCCTACCAGAGACTGCAAAGGAAGTACAGCCACCCTGCCACCACATCAGCTGCCACCCGCATTGAAGCAGAAAGTGCACAGAAGGTGCATGACATTTACAAGGACCTAGGAGGAGTGCCAGGCAACATTGACGTCATTTACGACGGCACGTGGATGACGAGGGGGCACAGAAGTCATATTGGCGTGGGCTGTGTAATCGAGCTGTACACAGGCTTGGTCTTGGACCACTGTGTCCTGTCCAACTACTGCCAAGGCTGTGCTGTTGGCCCCAAGCCTGGTGACGACAACTATGAGGAGTGGCTTGAGAAACACAAGCCACAGTGCCAAAAGAACACCGATGCTAATGCAGGCCAAATGGAAGTAGAAGCAGCTAGGATCATGTTTGAAAGATCGTTTACCAAGTACAAGCTTCGATACATCAATGTGCTCTGCGACGGTGACAGCCGTACGTACCTTGCCCTCACGCAAGACAAGGTGTATGGCTACATGGTGATTAAGAAACAGGAGTGTGTGAACCATGTGAAAAAAAGAATGGGCACTTCCTTGCGCAACCTTCTTGATGAGCACAAATCCAAAGGCCGAGGACTGAGCATGGGTGGCAAAGGCCGGCTGACGCAGGGCCTGATAAAGAAGTTGACGAATTATTATGGCTGGGCCATTAAGAGCCACCCCAACGATGTTCCTGGCATGGAGAGGGCCATCATGGCCACTTATTACCATGTAACATCCACAGACCAGGATCCACACCACAACCTGTGCCCAAGTGGGACTGACTCCTGGTGCCCGCACAATCAGGCATTGGCCAAGGGAGAGCCGCTGCCGCCTCACAAACATAAACTGCCCCCTCACGTGCGAGTGGCACTGCTGCCAATCTACAAGCGCCTCTCGAACAAAGAGCTCCTTGAAAGGTGTGCGCAGGGAAAAACCCAGAACGCTGTGGAGAGTATGAACAGCCTCATTTGGTCACTCCAGTCCAAGAGCCAGTTCGCCTCCCTTCGAAGTGTGGAAAGTGCAGTTGCAGATGCAGTCTGCCGTTTCAATGGTGGATGCAAGAGTGCGCTGCAAGAGATCACTGCTCAACTGGGCTTCAATCCAGGAGACTGCTCTTTGCGGCGAGCAGCCGAAAAGGATGCCAAAAGGGTAAAGAGGGCTCAAAAGGCGCATTGTTCCACGACAAAGAAGCGCAAAACTGGGTTGCACTCTACAGAGGCCAAGGCCACAGCATCTCAGGATTACTGCCCAGGAGGATTCTGAGTGTTTTAGGCATGTTGTGAACTTCCAAACAAGAGTGAACTTTCAAAGTCAGTTTTCTCAACTCTTGATTTTCGCCTATGTGCCTTCGCTAGAACATCCGTCATTTTCTAACAAAGACTGATAGAGTCGTTCCGTTTTTTGCACTAGGCTCAGGAGGCCTTTAGCAGTGCAATAAAGCTTTATCTCTCTTCTTACTCATCATTTAAAATTTTTAGAACACATTTTATAATTACTGCGATGTGTGCGCAAAACAACATTCATGTTTTGGAAATTTTATTTATGGTTACAAGAACTAGAAAAATCAACTAATAGCTTCTTTGCACAAGTTGATGCTTTGGGAACATAATAATATGAAAAAATAATTTCATTTAGCAATAATTATCTCTTTAAGTGTGAAGAGCATTAATTAGTATAATTATGCTTGTAACTCAAAAAGTACAAGAGGTATTTGAAAACGGTTTTCATATTTGGAATCCTCACAATCATCCACATACACACACCAAATTTCATCACAAACAGTACATTAATAAAAAAATTAGTTTTACTTGCCACGTCCCCCCTTAAAGAGTGTTCACTGTATGATATACCACGCCGCCAGCGCTTCATCAACCTAGCAAAAAGAAACACTTTCATGTTGCTATATCTCCTGAGAATATGTTTAGGAATCCTCTCCAACCTTTTTTTACCTTGCAATTTCACTTCAATCCACTAGACAAATATTCAAAAACCTTGGAAAAATATTTCACTCAATTCACACTCGCACTGAAATGTCCAAATTCACGTACCCTAAATTTTGCTATTTGCACAGCTCTAATTATAGGTGAACTCCACATACATGTCGATTCAGAAACTGTTAGCCGACAGCCAAAGCACCCACCTTAGCCAAAGACTGAGTAGGGAGATGGCCAGCAGCAGACATGCCCAATCCTGCCCTGGCAGCTGGACCAAGCCTGGCTTGTTGTTGTTGTTGTTGCTGAAGCAGAACCTTAGCATTTGGTCCAGGTCGTGCCTCATAAGGCAGACCAGTTATGTCAAGCTCATCCTGATAGAACAATCCAGCCCGGTGCGACTGGTGCCGGTTCACAACAGCCGAGAAGCCACAAGTGCACTTGTACTGGGCCTCTTCACTAGCAGTGGGAACCAGTGATGGGGGCAGGTACACGCCAACGTCCGCACCCTGAGCCAACCAACACTCGGGTTAATGCTAGCACATTCGCCTAGAGAAAAGCACTCACATGCCTATAATTTACTATTGGCACAAGCCTACAAATACAGAACTATGTGACGATTTATAAGCACCTGATTACTTTAACTACTGGCTGTTCATTCCTTGCAGAAGCATGTCAATTCGTATTCAAGGGAAGGTGAGAAATGGCTACGCTGCCAGTGTACAAGCAGAAAAGGCAGTGAAAGGGATAAAGGACAAGTACACGACGTAAGAAAGAAAGAGCCCCACTTTGATGTTCATGTTGCAGACACAGAGCGTGCAGCTGGCAAAGTTGTGGTCCCGGAACAGCTCGAGCAAGGAGTCCGACAATAGGAGGTTGACAAGAAGGGAATCGGCCTCTGGTGTTGCAGGCTCAGGGGGACCTCCCAAGCAGGGTCCTCTACCAGCCGGAAAGCCCCCCATCAATGCAGCCTGATAGGGTGCCTGTCCCATCTCGTAGCCCATCGCTGCTCCAGGGCTGCCCATCATGGCAGCCGAGCCATGGTAGGAGGCCCGCTCTTCTATACCCGGGTGGTGACTGCGTGAACGTAGTGCAGACATCAGCAAGCTAGTAAAGAAACAAGCACCATTACTGTTGGCATACGAAGATTCCAATAAATAAGTGACATGGACACTGACAGGCCAGAATGGCAAGTTCCCTACCTAGGGTGGCGTTCCAGGAGCCCTGGGTGGTGCAGGCCTCCTCCGCCCATGCGCATGAGGAAGGCCGCCTCTTGTGTAGAGCCATGCATGCCGCCCATTAGGTGTGGTGGCACAGATGGCGGTACGTGCTGATGCTGCTGCTGCTGTTGCTGCTGCTGTTGGTGTACAGCCGGGTGGTAGTGAGGAAGTGGACGGGGACCGGGAGGTGGCTGGGGAGGAGCCTGAGCTTGCTGTTGTGTGTGCTGCTGCCAGCAGGGCTTATAGGAAACTTCGAGAGGAGGCAGCGGCGGCAGTGTTGCACTGGGAAGCTGTGCCAGCGGGGCATAACGTTGTGAGCTGACGAACGTTTGCACCTTGGGAGCCTTGTATACGTATGACCAGTCCTGGAAAGTGAGAAAAAGGAAGCAAGTGTCCCAAACATTTCATTCAGGGTATACAGTACAGACCGCTTATGATGTAAGTAACGATCATGTGCAAGCACTGAACCAAGAACAGCGAGCATGATACAAGGTTTCCATTCGCAGCCAAGTAATCAACTATGACGAAAACTCGCCGAGCTTATGTAAGACCGCACACTGGCAGCTAAGGCCAAAGCTCGCATCATAAAGCAACAAAAGTTTAAATTTACAGCGAGGTAGAAAACGCGCTATCTGTAACAAACTCGATACCGACGATGCTTTTTTTAACAGGAAACTCTGGAGCGCAGGAAGGGATCGCACGTGCCATGTTGAGCCGCATGCAGCCGCCAGCAAGCGACCAGAGCCACACTAGCGACACAGGCACACTGTAGCCAAGTCGGCGCCAGTGCAAAAAGCAACCGCCCTTCTCCATCACTCGGCGAACCCGAGCTGCGTGCCGTGCTTTTTATTCCTTTTCTTTTTCCTCCCTCTGCCTTTTGTTCGTTCAATTCACGTCTCCTCCTCCTCCGTAAAGGCCTCGTCGTTTGCTCCCCAGTGGGACCAACGCGCCTGCTTTCAGACGCACACCCGCTATTGCGTCTGTCACTGCTTTTTTGACAACCGCATTATAACCAGTCTTTCATCTTGGGGGGACTGCACAATAAATGGTATGCATACACATGGGGCTCTATGGGAGGGTAAACGGGAGTTGAAAAATACCGCATTGTAACCAGTCCTGCACTACAACTGGTTACATTATAAGTGGTCTGCACTGTATACGTTTTCTTATCAAGCCCTATTTTAGTGTAGGCACCCTACTGTGTGCTACATCCATTTGTCTGTCACATCAGTGTCTCTTATAAAGGGGTTCGACTGTAATGCAAAATATCTAGCGTGCAAAGAACACTGGGAATAAAATAATTTTAAAGAATCAACCAAAAATGTTTATGACAGATTTGTATTGAATGTCTAACGTCTTCAATCTCACAACCTACACCTACCCTCACTCTCACAACACACAATTAATCCTCACAAAATATGTGCCCAACCAACCTTAGCGCCGTCAAAGCCCGGACTAGCACAGTTGCCGTAGGGGTCCAACGTCCGATCACCAGACTCTCCCATCAGCAAGTCTGTCCCAATGCCAGGGCACGATGGAGATGGGGCCGCATTGTGCTCCAGCGATGGTGGTGTGGGAAACATCCGTGTCAATTCTGCCGCTCCTACATTTCCATACAAACAATGTCACAATCATCTCTCACAGCAGCTCATCCTGCATTTGAAACTAATACATAGTGCAATTCCAAAGCTCTTAAGACTGCAGTTTGAAGTACTGAAGCTACACTTGCACGGCTGCAATAATTTTCTCACTGCTGCAGTCATTTTCTAAGTTTCATACCAGGCATAAAAAATTTAAAAAAAATCTTAATCACGTGAAGACGCAACCCCTTCAAATTTGCATGTCTCTACAACAGATAATTCCTTCAAAATTCAATGCTTGTTTGACAGCATCTGCTGAAACAGTATCACTTTTTCAGCACGAATATTGAAGAAAAAGAAAAAGCGTGCACAGCGTAGGTCTGCTGAAACAGCATCTGCTTACTTAAACAGTATCATTTTTTCGGCACAAGTATTGAAGAAAGAGAAAAAAAACCTGCACAGCATAGGTCTGCGAGAGAAGACGAAGAAGTAAAAAATGGTAAGGGCACGATGGCTTCTCTGATTTCTGACCATAATGTCTAATGACTGAAACGATTGCTGTACCACTAGGAGAAGTGCATGCAGAGGCACAGTGAGGGCTAGAATTTGATATGCACACAGCACACCACTTTCATATTTGATTTCCAAGAGAACATTACAAATCCTCATTAGAGGCCCTACTCCAATATATCTGGGTTGGAGGGGTTTAGCGCACAGTTTTCTCACAAATATGTCCAATGACTCAAACGAGTGCTGTACAACTAGAAGTGCATGCAGAGGCACAGTGAGGGCCAGAATTTGATAAGTTAAACATGAAGGTGAATAAGCGTTTGATAAGCACACAGCACGGCACTTTCATATTTAATTTTAAAGAGAACATTACAAATCCTCGATATATCTAGGTTGTAGGGGCTTAGCCAAGTACTTTTCAATTAATCAACAGACTGGTTGTGCAGTCCACACAGGAATAAGGAGCAAGGAAGACATAAAAAACATTAGCATGCTTGTTTTGATCAACTATGTTTGTAATTTAGTTCTGTTTATCTTTCTCTTCCTAACCATACGAACAAAGTTATACTGTTTTACAGAAAAATAGCGGAATTTAAGTTGAGTTTTTCCATGAGACTGCAGTGAAAAATCGAACCCGTCTTGCGCCGTCTTGCGTACCAGTTCTTTAACAGAAAAGCTATGGGTCTGTTTTGTGTTTACCAAATCTGTTCACAAATACAGTCAGTCCCGAAAATATCGAACTTCAAGGGGATCGTGAAATAGTTCCGCTATATCGATAATTCGTAATACAAAGATATGCATGATTAAGACCTAGATTAAAGCATTTTAGGCCTCGGAAATCATTACACGTGCTAACATAATTCGCTCACAGTATAACGAACAAGGTGTGAACTGCAAGTTACCGCACTTTATTTCGCATGAAAATAGTCCATAAACTTGTTTTCCTTCATGCGCGTCATCAAGTTCCAGTCATCTTCAATATCACTGAAGCTTTTCAAATAAGCGAATTCAGCTCCTTCGACCTCAGCAGCATTGATTGACACAAAATGCCAATGTAAGCTTTGTAGCGTGGCAAAAGGTTGGTTGGCTGCAGCAGCGATGGTGTTGGCATATTCATAACCGCGTGGGTACACTTTCGAAGCACCGAACACTGCAGCCACAATCTCACCATCGATGCAGTCAGAAACAGCTACGTCGTCATCTACACCGATAAGTCTCTCACTGTCCAAGATGGTGCGGGAAACGCTGATAAGTCGCAGAATTCACTGAGGCACCTTACGCCAGGGGTGATGATGTATCCGAAGTCGTCACCTGACCCGCGAGAAAAATTTACGACGGTGCTTTACTTGGCGTTGCTCCAAGCACCAGTCATAAGTTTTATCGCTTTGTGCAGGTCAATGTTCACTTCAACTCCATAACGAGGATTTATAAGGAATTAGGCAAGAAGTACACAAGTCCAAAAAGCGCCAAAGACAACGTCAAGTTTCCGCAGTCGACATTGACATGTTGACAATATCGGTATCACTTGAGCCTTAGGAGCTGGCAGCTGCTGGCTTTCAGCTGAACTGATGCGAAAAACTGGAAAAAGCATAGCTTCCGAGATGTGCGTTTTGAAATTGAAAACACTAAATATACGTCACGAGGTTGCACATCTCAAAGGCTATGCTTTTCAGGCTTGTGCGCTATTGTGCGCTAACAAACAAGGAAGGGAATGCAGACATTGCAATGAGATCGCCGAGTCACTTCACATTTTAATTTTGGTGTCCTCTGCAAACAGTACCGTAATTACTCGAATCCAGCGCGCACCTTTTTTCCGGTTAAGCAAGTTAATAAGTCGCATGCGCGTTAGAATTGAGCACGAAAAAAAAAAATGAATACGGTCTTTCTATTGCCATCGGCATTTCCAAAATCGCCGCCCCCTACGTGCGTCGACATGGCGCGTCGGCCATTTCTGCCTATGTGTTTCCCATGTGCGGCACTTCGTACGTACGTGTGCTGAGGAGTTCGTCATCTTGTAGTGCGTTAGCATCGACGGCATGGAAGGGCCGACTCCAAAAACTCGAGTGCCCTACGATGCCGCTTTTAAAAGAAAAGTCTTCGCGTGTGCAGAAACGGAAAGAAATCGGGCAGAATTGTGGTCGTTCGGAGTTCCCGAAACGTGCATGCGGGACTGGCGGAAACAAAAGCAGAAGATTGTCGACAGCAAAGCTTCACGCAAAGGCTTCAGTGGACAAAGCGTGGTCGGTTTCCGCAAATTAAAGAGCTGCTCGGCGAGAATGTGCTTGAGCAGCGAGCAGCACAGCGACCCGTGACGACAGAACTGCCCCAAGTGCGGGCTATGCAGTTAGCCTTAGAAAAAGGGCTAATGCGGAGCCAGTTTAAAACGAGCAAGTGCTGGCTAACTAACTTTATGAAGAGGAAAGGCTTTTCCCTCCGAAGGCGAACGGGCATATGCGAAAAGTTTCTGGAGGAGTACGATGAAAAGCTTCACAGTTTTCAGAGGTTCGTTCTAAACTTGCGGAACAACGACGGCTACCTGCTTGGGCAGGTCGGGAATGCCGATCAGACGCCTCTTTACTTCGACATGCCTGGCACCACAACCGTCGAGAAGAAGGGGGCGAAGCAAGTTCACGTGTTGACATCGGTCCACGGTAAAACTACAGTGACTGCAATGCTCTGTTACACATCAGATGGGCACAGGCTTCCCCCGTACCTCATATTTAAATGGAAGACGCTCCCAAAAGGAGTCGTTTTTTCGAGTGGTGTGATCGTGCGGGCCTACGAGAAAAATGGGTGCACGTTGCAATCGATGTCTTAATTTTTTTTGCCGTGGAAACTGGGTGCGCGTTACAATCGAGGGCGCGATAGAATGGAGTAAATATGGTATTTTTGAAAAACATAGCTTATAAGGGTACTTGCTTGGGCAAGTTGGTAGCTACTCATTGTTACCTTATTGCGCACTGCTTAAAAGGCGAACACTTGGGATGAAGGGCTTGATATGTGCCTGCTTCCGTCTAGTCCTTCATCCCAAACGGTCGCCTTTTAAGCAGTGCGCAATAAAGTAACTGAAAAAAAAAAAAAAAAAAACATGCCCGCACGTTAAGACCAGCAGATCGCACATCAAACATATCAGTGCACTCGTAAGTGCAACAAACCAGATCAACGCGCAACGAACCGCGCAACGAACCAGATCAGCGCAATGGAACAACACCACCTTTGTGTCACATGCGCATGAAGAGAACGGAGCTTGCTAGAACGTGACCGAAAATGGATCAATATTTGCCAGGAAAAATGCACTTTCTGGACTTCGACGCGGCGCAGTGTGCGACACGCTATCCGAGCGATTTTTCGAACCGGACGGGGACCGCGAAATAGTACGAAAAATCGAACAGTCCAAAGACATGATTAAGTCATGAATACGAAGTTCGCTGATATTAGAAAAGCCTAAAACAAATCCGGAATAATGCCATGCTTCATGCTGTTCTGGGGGACAAGGTAACTTGGTTATAGTTGGGCTACAATAACGTCGCTGGCAATCGCTGCCACCGGCCCGCTAACCGTTGTGGGCTTTGTGTTCATGGCTCCATGGAACCACGCAAAACAAAACTTGATGCCGGTTGCAAAAAGACGCATGCAACTTCTCGCCTATTTGCTGAAATTTAATAACACTGTTTGGGCTTATTTTAACTGCGGCGACATAACACAGTACGTGAGCCTTTAGCATTTTGCTACTATCAAAATGCTACCGCCACAGCCGCGATCAAACCCGCGTGTTCTAGGAGTGGCCGAGCACGGTGACCCCAGAGTGCTACTGAGCAACCACGAGCAGCAGCGAGCATGTGACGCCCACGACAGCTCAAACACATCCGGCACACCAATATTACGACCAAGTGCACAATGACAACCACAAAAAACGTCAGGCCTGCGCGGAAGGCTCAGCACAGTCACAGCGAAAGCTACAACAACTGCCCTTCAGAGCCTTTCTAAACACTCATTGGATAACATCTGCAAGCACGCTTGCTTGATACCCACTATGGCATTAATAATAAATATGTTTTGTGTAGTAGGCTGGCATTAGCTATGCTATTTTTCGTCATTCTTTTGAGAGGTGTGGTATCTGCGAAACACTAGCAAGGAATTTTGTGCCAATTGTCTATGCAGTGGCTGATGACGATGAGGAATTGTGTCTGAAGTGCGCCACAGTTAATAGATGAACAAGAACAAGCTTTTGTAATGGGTTGGAGCATTGGACAACTCACTCGTTATGCTATTCGCATTGTGCGATGACTGTTTGTTCTTTCGCTGTTTTAAAACGTTTTATAAGTCTATAAACGCGATTGCTTTCCTGATATCAAGCCTGCCTAAGGCAAGTTGGCCAACAAGTCCTGAGCACCAGCGTGGCTCAGTGGTAGAATATTGGGCTGGCACCCAGCGGACACTCGTGTTCGAGCCCCACCGTGTTATTGGTACTAGGTTTTTTTTTATAATTTCGTGCGTTGTGATTACAGGCACTGGCGGCGGCGGATAACTAGGGCAGCACGTGACCAGAGTTTTGATGTCATAACAGCCTTCGCTGTAAACCAAATGACCAGAAAATAAAAACAACCTATTGGCTTATTAATGATGATGGTAAAGCTCATCGAGAAAAGGTTTTGCAGTTTCGTTAGCCAACAAAGATCAGACATAGCCTCCAAAACTGGAAGATTGTGCGCACCAATGCATGCTTCCAACCCTGGCAGCCAAGCAACTAGTCACTGCAAGCCAAACTTGACCAATCCAACAAAAAAACCGAACATTGCAGCTTTCAAAATCAAGCGGCATAGCTCAAAACGGTCAATTTAGTTAGGAAAGTCAAACTTTGGTACATAAATTCCCCCGAAAAATCGGTCGCAAAAATGCATTAGCGCAATGAGAACCTTGACGGTGCAGTTGTGAAGTCCGAAATGTCCAACAAGTCCGAATTTTTTAAGTATGAAAAATCCCTCGGCGCCTGTATGGCGGATGTCCCGCTGTGCGATAGTTCGATATATGGGTGCGCCGATCTTATTCTTTCGCATAGGAAATTCAAGAAAATTTCTCTCAACTGTTCGATATAGCCAATAATTCAATATATCCGAGTTTGATATATCCGGGATCGACTGTAGTGGTTTTTTAAATTGAACAGGACACTATTTAGATTTGTGTATGGAAACTTTCATTATTTGCCTACCACTAAAAAGACACCAGTCATTTAGTGCATTCTGTGAAATTTTCTTGTTTTTGCACAGCTTCTTTCACGGTCAGTGCTGACATGACAATCAAGGACACGGTAGCCAACTGCAATGACTCACCAAGAATGCCTGCTGTCGTGCTGCTTTTAGACTTTGTGATGGCTTCATCAGTGGCACCCGGAGGCTTTGTGGAGCTTGGTGTAGATGGAGCCTGAAACTAGGAGCAAATGTAACACTGCATGCTGTCATCTTGAACATATGAACAGAAACTTTCTAACATCAAATAGACGAGACAGTATGCACGTTTACTGGAGGCACTCATCTAAATGCTTTATTGAAAGAAAGCTGTGGAAAGGTCTCACATTGCAAGCCACAACATTCACTGCAATTTGAAACTTAACAACACCTTTGGAATGTGCAGTTAATATGAGACAGCACTGCGTGTAAGCTATATGCTCAATATCTGTAATGTATGGATTCAATTATTTAAAATCTTGACAACTATTACAGGCACCCAAGAGCCAATAAAGAACATCGCAATGTTTGAGACGTAAGCCAGGACACAAAAAACGAGCAATCTGACTGCTACCACAAACAGGGTGACACTAGAGTTGGGCAAGCTTCGCTTACGGGGTCATCGCTGCTTTCGTCCGAAGAGGAGGTGTCAAAGATGTTCTCCAGGTCACATTCGGTCACCTTCAGGTCTTCCACTCGGGTGAAGCCTGGATGTCGAGGCGTGGGAGGTGAGCCACCTGGGGCGATGTCCCCCTGAGATCCGGGAGTGGTGGGCTCTCCGATGCCACCACCATGAGCGATGCCCGCCACACCAGATGGGTCGACAGACGAAAGCGCTGGCTCTGTGCCCACTATTTCCATGGGCACACTGTCCTTTTCTTCCTCCTACGCCCATGGGAAAAAACACACCCACGCAAGAGCATTGCAAAGGGAGAAAATCTATCTCAACTCGCTACAGTAGTATTAAACCAACACTTCAGAGCAGTTTGCATGGGATAAACATGACTACATATAAAGGCTACAGAACCCACTGCATGTTTTGTTTATTCAGGAGATGTGACATGGTTCCACCTGAAGAAAACTTCAGCAAAATAATTTTTCACATTAGTTCATTATTGAAAACTTTTGAAGAAATTCGAAATGTCCATTATTCCTCTAGGAGACAAACATCACTGCCACGGTCAACTCTAACCATCGCTGCGGCGCACGTTCACAAGCTACGGAGCTCCCTACCGTTGTCTCAAGTGGCGAAAAAGAGAGACCTTGCCATGTCGACGAGATAAGCCCTGCTACTTTTTGAAACATTCATTGCACTTTGCTTCTCGATACACTAGCAGAGATGGGTTGGGAACTCTGCACTGGACGAAGAACAGTGCGATGGTCGGCATATCATGACTGGTTTGACAGTGTGCACATGCGACTTCGAACTGGTTGTGGGCGTTTAATGAATGGGTACTATGGAGCCATATGTGAATGTTACCTTCCACCCCCAAAAGGTTTATTTTTGAGATGTCAAATACTCAGTTTGCTGCACAGTAAATATTGAGAAAGGAATCATGTCCATCAACTCTAGTGCAGACTTGCGTATTAGCTGTTTATTGTCAGTAATAATCTATTGATGGAGTCCCACTAGATCAGTTGTCTCAACAAAACATGCAGCAGTGTCCATGAAAAATCGGAAGCCCAACACGGTTGAGCTGCAATGTACAAATAATGATGATGATGATGATGATAATAAATATCAAAAAAAGAATGTAGGACAATCGTTGCCAATAACGCCGCATATTTAATATGGCTGTTCATGACTGTACATAGGTCACATGGCTTTGTCACTCACCTTGACTACAACAGGAGTAGTGGTCTGATTGGGCGTTCCATTCTGCTGAGCAGGAGCTGGCTGGTTACTGGGAGTGGCAGCTGCAGTGGCAATAGTAGCGGCAGGGTCTTCTTCTGCCTCGTCATGAAACTCATACGGGTCCCTCGCACTTGATGCACCGGAAGTGGAACCGCCTTCCCCCATCTGATTGGCCGAAGCAGCAGTCATGCAATCACCATTCAACTCTGGCTGCCGGCAGGGCAGAGACAGTCTCCACGCATCATTTGGGCTCGATCTCCGAGGAGCGCCCATGGCCGGTCGTTTGGATGGAGGCACGTCCCTGTCGGGTTGGGAAAAACACCTTGGTGGCGAAAAGAAACTGGCACGATGCTATAATGATATAAACTAAGCTTGTATAAATAGTGCACTTCAGGTTGAATTGTGAACTCGAAGTGAATACCTATTATGGTCTAAGAATTTCAAATCGAATTCAAATAGTATATTCAGGGAGCACGCCCCCTTGATAAGAGGCATGCTCCGGGCAGCAGTTCTTGTCTTTCATGTGAGATACCTCTCTCATAAGTGGGGTACCTCGTATCCATTTTCGTACTCTCATATCCAGCTGTAGAAACACTGGTCTCTCTTATACCCATTTGTCTCTTATAAAGGGATTCAACTGTATCACACATTATTAAAAAAAATGGACATGCACCAACATCTATATTTTTTAATTGAAAGAAAGCCGGCACAAATGCCTTTTATTTAGAAAGTTTAAAAGTTTATATATTTTCATAGTAGGATTGAACGTTTGCCAGAATGCAAGTGATAACCTGTAAAATACGTCAACTTTTAAAATTTACATTACTTAGAGCACAGAAGCCGGTATAAAAAGCTTTAAAACTTGAAAGGGCCCTGAAACACGTTTTGAGCATGGTCAGACAATGCTGGTGGTCGGTAGTGAAGGCTCCTGAGAACATGGAGTCAAATATCTTAGCAGAGCATGCAGCCTGCAATTCACAATTCTCAAAGTTAGCTAAAGATCACTTTCTCTTTTTTCGACAAATGGCACTACAGACTCGAAAATTGCTGCATCACCGGCCAAAGTATCGTCAATGGCCGATTTGAGCATGGCGCACTCAGGAATCACTGGGACCGCTGCGGGAGGTCATGACCTGTCAGCGCGTGCTGCATGATCGCACTGCAAAGTTGTGCATACTGAGGGCGGGGGGCAAGAGTCAAGAGGCGCACCGTGCCATCCTTCCCTCTTTGGCTTCCAGCGCTTTCGTCCGAACGAGAGAGGTGAGAAAGCTATTGCAGGATGCGACCAATCTTTGTAACTGTGCTTGTATTTGACTGATTCTAAAACTTTTTGCAGCAGTCGATTCACGAGGCAATAAGCTCCTTTACTAAATTTATTCCATGGCTACTTAGAAAAGTGTTGCACGGCCCCTTAACAAATTATGAATCGATGGGAGGGTAATATGTTCATTTAACCTTGAAGTGAGGCTTTGCGACAGTGCACATTTTTCTGGATAGGTGTTTTCACGGCATAGCACCTATTTAGTGCAGTGAAACCACTTTTACAGGAGGTTACATGCAGACTATTATACATTTATTCGATCATTTCGACTTATTTGAAATATTCAATAACTTAAATTTGAATCAGAGCGAATTGGAATATTTGCACAAGCCTAGTGTAAACCTATTCATTAAGGCAGGTCTATCTGTACTCAGTGCGAGACCATATTAAATGTACAAGGTTTCACGTCTCATGGGCCTCAAGGATAACTACCGTCAAACCTCAATATATCGAACACGGATATATCGAATTATTGCCTATATCGAACGGTTCCTATATCACGCAGGAAATCGCATGCATTATTGATTTTTTATTTCGAACAAAGTTTGACATATAATGGATATATCGAACTCAGCCATCCCAAACCGCCCGCGCTCCATTGACAGGCGGCGAGCTTTCCCGCAACTCTCGAAAGTAGCGGTAGAGCGGCGGGCGTTTACGAATGCGGCACACATCAATGGCGCCGAGCGCGCCACTTTTAAGGTAGCGGCATACGCGCGCCGCAGCCTTGAAGGCTGTGGTGTCAACGGCACACTGCGCACTTGTTGGGAGGATTCGCTCGCAGGATTTCAAGCTGGACGGTTGTGCTCTCGCGATCTCCGACGCCAGCGTAGCTCCCGCCGACCGGTTCGCCCTCCGCAATCTCCTGACGCCGTGCAGCTCTCGCACTGTGGCGCCCCGCCCTTGGACTGCTTCGACCGGATCCCCACTTTCCTATCCCCTTCTTTTTTCCGTGGCTTGCCTGTCTATTTCTTAATCTATTTCCTTCTATTCTTTTTATCCCTCCTTCCCCCCACCCCTATAAGGCACTGCGCCGTGTCACCTGAAGGCAGACAGAAATTAGGTGCCTTTTTCCTCTTCCTTAGAACCACTACCACCACCACTTGTTGCAAGCTCCTCCCCCGTAGCATCGGCAAGCATCGGTCGTGCTCGCAGTGTTCTTGGGTTCGGAGTAAAGAGCAAACCTCATAAGCGCGAAAATGCACACGACAGCGACGAGCGATGCTATGAGCGGCGAAACGGGGCGTTCGCGCGACGTGTCGCGTGCTCGTTTTCGCGCAATCGCTCGGTTCTCCAGATTTGGAAACCGTCGCTCATTGCCCGGAAGTGCTGGGCTCAAGCAGCCAATAGCGAAAAACCGGAAGAGACAAAGACTACGTAGGTGCACGTGACCCTGCCCGAGGCACGTATGCGCAACAAGAAATAAAGCAATGTTTACGCATGTGCATATAAAAAAAGTGCTGCATTTATAAACACTTTCCGTTACATTACACAACAATATATCTTATTTTTAAATTGCATACCGCTCGCTACGCGGTTTTCTTGGTGCGAGTAGACGGCCTCATGCCAGCAACAGTGGAGTTCGCACGCCAAAACCGTCGTGTGAATGAGGTTTGCCTGCGCTAGCGACTGATCGCGCGAAGACGATCTACGTCTCGTCGCTGTCACGTGCATTTTCGCGCTTATGAGGTTTGGCCCTTAGGCCTGTCCCGCGCTGTGGTGCGCGACAGGCCTAACTCCGAACGACGGAGCTCACGGATGTGGAGATTGTCGCCGAAGCTACTGCTGAGCAGCCAAATGAAGACTCTGACGAGGTGGATCCCGCAAGCGCTGATGGTGCCCCGCTCCCGACATCAGCTGAGGTCGTAGCTGCCTTGGCCCATGGGCCGCCACTGCGGGGCGATTGAAGGCACTGGCCTATCACTTATGGATCGCCTGGACTATATTGAGGACGCAGTCGTCAAACACGCCATGGCCAACAAAAAGCAGGCTACTCTTTTTTAATATTTTAAACCAACACAATAAATACTATGTTTGAATCTTCAAGTGAGTATTTACTGCACCACGCTTGAACGGTTCGTTGGTCGTTTTCAGCAAGCTGTTGACGCATTTTTTTCGTGATTTTTTACATCAAATTCTGGATATATGGAACTATTTCGCGATCGCCGCGTCGTTCGATATATCGAGGTTCGACTGTAAACCCAAACACATTTATTATTAGAATTAGAAGTCTCATGATCGCTGCATGAAGTAGCGAGGTTATCCGTAAATATAAGATCTCCCCTAACTACATCAATAGAAAGCAAAAATAAAAAATTTTTTAATACACTATATGCAAACCCTGAATGATGCAAGCAACAGAATCATAATGGAATAAGCAGTGCGAGTCTATGCTTTTTCCTCGTACCCTACCACATGATTGACAACTTTTCTGCACTGCCTATGCAGTAGTAAAGCAGAACGTTGTTGCTACATTACTAGTTTCTAGAACTGCTGCATTATTTGCTCCTGCACAGTCTTGCAAATCCAGCTTTACAAAGCGTCCTGCAGGGGCACGCTTCCTACTTCGTGGCCAATGAGATTTGTACTAGACGACAGCAAATAAATAAAGAAAGAAAGAATGCCATAAAGCACAGACTCACCATGGAGGTTGGTAAATGGTGGTATAATCATACAGCAGGCAGCTTCCTAGTGGCATTGAGGCCTCTGCTTCCAAAAGAGCCTCGTGAGGAACAGCAGGAAGACACGGCCGTTTCAAGCCTTGGTGATGATGTTGTTGCACAGGCTGAAATAAACAGTTGCACTGATAAATTACAATGGGCTGGCTCATGTTTCGCTATTGTATAACCCTTGTAGGACACACCAACAACGATTCTAATCATCCGGCCTTCATATCATTTTAAACACAGGCCTTAATGGTCCCTCCAACAACAACAAGAGCAACAAAAAAACAGTGCGAAAGATGGTAAAGTGAACCGGCCAAGATTAATTTTCGTTCTTGTGCACACATAACGTTTGATATACGATGGCAGGTGTTGGAACGTACTGCAGTAATGGAATGAATCGGCCCATCACACAAATTCATGTGATGAGGTCAGCCTGAGATACACAAATTAGTTTGCTACCTGCTGCTGCTGCTGCTGTGGCTGCTGAGGTTGTTGCTGCTGCTGTGTTGCAGGTGGTCCCGGCGTAGTTGGAGGAGCCTGGAGCTGAGGAGCGGGGGTACCAGGTGGTCCCCCAACAGGTGTACCTGGCGGCAAAGAAGCTGGACCACCAGGAGCAGCCAGGGGCGTGCCCGGCATCTCATCTGTGCCCACTGATGGCGGAGCATGTACTACAGTGGATGCCAGAGGGGTAGCCGCAGAGGAAGATGGAACTGAGCCAGGGCCACCCCAGGGATGAGACGTACCGCCTGGCGAGCAGGATGGTGGTGCTTCCAGAGGCGGTTTTACTTCCAGCAAAGATGATGGTGAAAGGAGCTGCAAAAGCACCGCGTGGTCACTTCACTGGCGACTGCATGGCTACTCTAGTGAGATGAACACAAAAGTGGGACAACTCACCAAATTAGTTATTTGAAGTGTTCTAGTGACACAGCAGTTGAAAAATAATCATTGTTAGGGAGCATTAAACGGAAAAGGATCGTGTTACTTGGGCAAACTAAAGATATGTGAATAATATAGCGCAGAGTCAAGTAAACGAATATCTTTTAAAAGGCACTGTTGTTTAAATTAAACAACTGCCTCTGATACGACTGGTTTTGTACTTGCATTCTCTTTCCGTATTCATCACACAGTAAATGGAGCTTGCGTTAAATAGAACAGATTTTCCTGGTCCTTTTAGTTTCCATTTGATAAGAGTCTACAGTGGAACTCTAATTACATGTTGCCCGATATTGTGATGTCCCAAGTTCTACGACAGATTGGTGCAGTCCCAGCCAATTTCCTCTTTGAACATGTAAATTTCCATGGCTTAAGACCATCACCAAAAACTTTTCATTTTAATTATGTGTTAAAACTCTCTCGGGACAATTTAATCACAGGTTTTGAACCAGACCAGTAAGTTCTCAGCTGCAAATTGGCCGTGTAATAGCCCACTGATGGAATGGTTCGTCACACAAACCAGCCTCATAACTCAACGTAGGTCAAGCATTGCATAGCACCAAACTGGGGCCTTAAATATTGTTCCACAAATTTCAGCTTCAAGAAGTATCCACTGGCACTGCACCCGATGTAAGCAGTGTAAGCAGAGATGTGACTGCCAATAAAGTCTGTACTGCTCGCACTTGTCCCAAACAAAGAAGTAAACCACTGAGGTGTGTCTGTTGGGCTTAGTCGTATGTCTTCTTTTTTTCACGCAAGAAGTACATATAAATTTTGCTGCCTCTTGCCTAACCCCTCAGGGATAAGCTGTGTCCCCAAGGTTTATAAGCTTATCGTGACCCAAGTATGAGGAAGAATGCAACCACAGCCAAATATCACTACAAAAAACATCAGTTTAATAGAACATGAGCCCCCAACACTAATTATTTTTGAGTCAATATGAACAAAACTTCACTGTCTAGACCAAACTTTAATGTTGATTTCAAATTTGTAATTAGTTTTTTCATAGCTGCACTAGATCTAAAAATATTGAAGTTCAGAAGAACAATCAGTGCTTGCTTCTTAGGGCCTTCTCGGCGATTTCGGCATACTGAAGCTAATATTGAAGTGCACGGCCCCAATGCCCAGGTTATGCTGAGGGGGTGATGCTATTTCTATTCATTTCCGAGCACTGTGTAAATGAAATAACCAATGAACGTTCACTGTTGATTATTTCAATAACAATATGCAGGATGACAATAGAGTAATAGAAATGGGATCCCCCCTTAATCGTTTTAATACAAGTAAAACAATAGTACATTTGTCATTTTTACTCAATAACAACATAGGACAAACACCCGCAAGGCTGAGTGCATTGAGCAAAACCATCAAACTGAGAAAAATGCATCTGAAATTTCAGACAGCTGTAACTTCTGTGGAAGAACAGCCACTGCATTACAAATTACAGTTATAGACGGCTTATACCGTATTTACTCACGTAATGATCGCACTCGTATAATGATTGCACCCCTAAATTTTGTCGTCCAAATTATACCCCCCCCCCCCCCCCATAATGATTGCACCCTGAACTTGCAGCATGGACATGTCATGTGCCAAGTCTAGCTGAACGCGCCTATCATTGTTTCTGTGATCTGAAAGCGGGCATCACTATGCTAATGCCGTAAATTTACTGATTTAAATGAAAACATTTTTTTATTTAGATGAAAGAAACTGTTTTGATGCGCATGAGTACTCACAACCTCCATAACTGACGCAAAAAAGAAAAAAAATGTGGTGGCTTCACTCCACGGAGTGCTTCGCTCCATCAGCCACTATGTTTGTTTTAAGATCCCGTACTGTTACAGCGGCGGCCGCCTGTTGGTCGACCTGTGTTCATCCCGCAGCAATGTTTTTTTCATTCCCGAGACCACGTTTTTTTTTGTGTGTGTGTGCCTTGTGATCGTCTGTTGAAGCGCCGTTTCACTACAAGGCGGTACGCCAGCTTTACTGCCGCGTTCAAGCTGAAGGCGCTTGACTACGCGTTAGAGCACGGCAAACGCGCTGCTGGCAGATATTTCGGCGTCGACGAAATGCGGATCCGATATTGGAAAAAAAAGCGCGACATGCTCATGGCTACTGACAGCAATCGATGGGCATTCCGCGGACCCACATCTGGCAAGTTGCCTGACATTGAAAAGGCAGTCCTCGAATACGTGAAGGACATGCGCAAGGACGGTTATGCAGTGTCATTAGACATGATACGGACGCAGGCATGCACAGTTTCCCGGAGGCTGGGAATAGCCACAAAGGACTTCCGCGCCAGTTCCGACTGGACAACACGCTTCATGCGGCGGGATGGACTGTCGCTGGCATTTCCAACGCGCTCGACGGAACGGAAGATGACCCTCTGTGGGACATTGAAGACACGGCCGGTTCCGACAGGGAATCGTGCGGCGACGACATTGATGCCAGTGATGCTTCGGAGTCTGAATGAACATTAGGGGGTGAGAGAGGTAAAAAATAAAAGGGCAGTGTGCCATGCTTGTAGCTCCTGCGTAAAGTGTGCATTTTATTACAAAGGTAAGCCTTAATTTACTTTTGTTTTTGGTTATGTTCATGATAGCTACCGTAAGAATTCTGATTAGCAACTTTTTGCGTTTCCGGTGCTCAGAATATTTTTTCACGGAAAATTTACCTCACCTAATGATCGCATCCCGAAGTTAGAGTCAATTTTAAAAAAAAGTACGATAATCATGCGAGTATATGCGGTAACATAAGTCATGAAAGTCGCACTATTAGTGGTACCACACTATAACTAAAACAATCTTTTTCAAGGGCCACCACTGCGCAAAACATGTTAGCAAGCAGTCTCGCGTGTCTAAAAATCAAAGCATGTGATGCGCGGTGCTTACAACCTTTTCCCAATGTTAAAAAAATTAACATCTAAAGATGTGCGTTGCAACGAAATGAACACAAGGAAGGGGGAGAGGGGGTGTCCAACAAAAGAAAATACCATCGCGGAAATTCTTCTACTGCTCCTCAGACTGCCTCGATTATGCGCATCACACAGAATATCGAATCATGTCTGCAATTTTATGCTTTAAAAGACATCAATAGTTTGATTTCATGGGCATGAACCCCATTTTGAAGCATGCAATCAAATTGCAAACCACTATTTGAGCACTACATGTGTCATCCTTGTTTTCATTAAAATTTTGTATCCCTTCATGTCAAGAGCAGGCCCCGCAAAGTTTTTCGTTGATTTCGTACCAAACTGCAACTTAGACTGCGCGCGACTGCTAACCAAACACAACGAACGCTGATTAAACCTAGCTTGTCGTTCGATATATTGTCGTGGAAAGTTCGCCCAAGACATGAAGATAAGGCTTCGAAAAGACCGCACTTGAGCACTGAACCAAGAACAAACAGCGTGCACGTTACGAAGTTTGCGTTCACAGCTGGGAGGCCAACAACTCGCCAAGCTTACATAAGAAGCTCCACTGACAGCAAAAGTGAATGCTCGGGTCATAAAGATGTAAAAGGTTTTAAATTTACCGGCGAGGTAGCAAATGCGATATCTGTAGCAAGCACGAAAACGACGATGCTTTTTCCGACAGGAAACTGTTAAACACAGTTGACATGGACAGGATTGCACGTGCCATGTTGAGCCGCGCGCACGGCAGGAGCCATGCTAGCTTTTCTGGCAAGATTTTACGGCAACTACATTATACCTGGTCTCCTATCGATGGGGACTGCACAATAAGCTGTATACATATACGTACACAGGAGGGCGACCAGGAGACGAAAAAGACTGCATTTTAACTGGTTCTGCACTATAAGTGGTTGCGTTTTAAGTGGTCTACACTGTATATCACTCAATAGGTTTGTTCTTCACCAAGAACAGCCATATCAAATCCATTACTTGCCAATGTATTCACAAAATCTTGCGATAAAGCCATGTTGTGCACCCAGAACCAGTTCATAGGCTAGTACTAATTCCCTTCAAGCTAAAGCAATACAAAAATTATCTAAAAATGTGGCCTTCCTATAGACAAATGAAATCGACACAGAGAAGAGGCTAATGGCTTATTTATTAAACCGAAAATTGATTATTGTCTAGCAATAACACTTTCCTCACTAGCAGGCAAGGGCTGTAAAAGGGGCTCTCTGCTAATTTATCTCAATTTAAAAGCCTGTTCGTAGTGTCACAACTGTACAAGTGCTCCTTTTTATACTTCTCATGTCAGATTTTATCTTTTTGAAGGCTGCAGCGCACAAATCAATTTTCCAAAGAGTAACAAAGTGTCGCGGTGATTCAGGCGTTGCTGTCAGGCCATGGTAGAAGCGACTGCCGTTGCACCCTTGTCTACGATATTGGTTGCCTCAATGAATGCATTTCACTTCATAAAGCCTTACTTTAGCACCACTACAACCAGCTACCTTCACCGAGAAACACTTCTCGTTAGAAGCACAGGTTTCGAATAAACCATCCACTTTGTGAAGGGTCACTTGAAGCGAACTCGGAACAAGGCAGAGGTTTGAAGAACACTTTTATTACGGTTAAGGTAGGTCACCACCTGCAATAACGCATTTTTAAAATTTTTTTTTTATTTCACATTTTCGAGTTTCCTGTGCATTCATGAATACTTAGAGAAAAAATTTATGTAGCTTTCTTGAAATGCTCAAAAAGTTATCACCATTTTTTCGACCCCTGGTGAGTGCATCCGAAAACCGAAACTGAATGTTTCCGTTTCCTTAACAGCTACCATAAAAGAGCAAATGACGGCACTGGGCTGCGTGGTTCGAAAATTGCAAACATGTGAAGTTGGGGTATTTTCAGCACTCACTGGCTGCTTGCTGACTGCCTCGGCATGTTTTATAATTTATTTGACGTACTTTTGCAATGAATTACACATTGATATATACAGAACAGATGGTTTATGCGACATACTACCCGAATATGTGGGTTTCGAAAAATCGACTTTTTCCCAATTTTTTCGTTTTCAAAGGGCATGTCCCCTTTCAAATGTATCGTTCAGCTTGTGATAACAGGCTACAACATAGCTGTTTCAATTCTGCAAACTTCTGCTTCATTACATTTTTTCTTGAGGTCTCTTTATGTTCGTTCAAGTAAAGTTTTACTGTATAGCCTTACCTGCTCCCCGGGCTGCCGGTCCTTGGCCGACTCAGCAACTGCGGGTGCAGGGCTTGCACCAGGCGCAGGAGAAGGCCGTGGCTCGTCTCGCGGCGGTGGGTGCGGGGACAATGTGGGCATGGCGGGGTCTGCTTGAGATGCCTGCGAGGCTGGCCCTTCACTCAGCAGCAGTGGGGTGCCTGGGTGCGAGCATGACCCCACTGACGGCGGAGGCCCTCCCACTGCTGGCTGATGGGACAGCTGGGGAAGGCCTCCGCTGGCCACTCGGGACACCAGTGCCACTGCACCCTCATAGTCCACCTAGTTCAAAATGAGAAAAAACAGCACAACGGGTTTTCGGTGAAAGTAGTGAACAATACAAGGTAGGACCAATCTATAACAAAACGTAATCGCTGCAAAAAGGAGCTGTTTCAAATGGGGTAGAACACAAAAGACAACTCAGCTGACTCCATACTCTATGTATTTATAAAGGAACTGACAGAATGCTGCATTCCTTAATATTTCACTACCTCAGTCTCCCAGATTACTCAAGTAGTTTACGTTTAATAATAAGGAGGGAAACTACACCGTAAAAACCGTGATATAGGTCGACCCCTTTTATTGTAAAATTTCCGAAAAGGAAACTCTTAATGATCGCAAAGTATCATGGCGCACTTTTACCTTGATAAATACACGAATTGACCGGCTGCACTGTGGTGACGTTTCTTTTTATTTCTACACTAACCTTATGTAGCTAAATCACAGAAGGCCTTGTCACTCAGACTTGTCCGAGCACGAGTCCGACAACATCTGTTTCTCATTAGTTATGGCCCAGAGTGCGCTGTCCTGTGTTCCATCTAATGCGTTGCTGATGCAGCATTTGCAGAAAAACTTACACACCATCTATGCCGGGAGAGATTTCCAAGCTGACAACACCCAGCTACAAACAGTTGCGAGCAGTGGACGTTGTGGGCAGCCAGAGTGGGTCATGAGATGGTCGCCCAGCATGCACTCAGTGTGGAGCTCCCGCACGTGATATTCGAAGGATTTATTGAGCACTACGTTCAGTGGTTAGAGGATTGATGTTAGTACCACAGGGACCACGACAAGGTGTGTCTCGCCATCAGACATAGCTCCCTTTATTTCGACCGTGAGGTGACTTCAAAATGAGTCGAGCACCAACATGCTTGGTTGCTAAAAAAGTGAGCTGGGTCGCCGATTCCAGTCAAGTCGGATTTATTCAAGCATGAGGGACTCATTTATGAACCCTTTTTCTACTCTCACGATAACATCACGGGGAAAGTCTTTCTTTGGTAGCCCCCCCTCCCCCCCCCCCCCTTTTGAAAACGATATAAGGGGGCAGCTTCTTTCCATCGGCTGTACACGCGAGCTTCACTGTGAATAGCGAATGCTCGTTGCCCATTGTCAAGAGCTTCACTTGCTTAGATCCTTTATCGGTCACAGTACGGTTCGAAAGCATTTCGAACCAGATCGGAGTTTCTTCAGCACTGCCCATGCGTCCAATCATGTAGCAATGCTGTCGATGAAGCTCGATGACGAAGCGCTGATACTCAACTAGCTCCTTATTGAAATCTTCAGGCAGTTTTTGGCACACGGAAGTACACCGACCCAGCCCCAAACCCTCAAATTGCGCCCTCATGCGCCTTGAACCGCATGCTACTTTGACAGCCTTCACAAGGATGCACTGCGCTGTCACCTTGCACAAAACTCCCATACGAATTCGACCAGTAGAGCTTCCAGTTCTGGGTGCACTGCAGTCCGTCTATGAAACTAAGTTCAATTTTGGTTGCTTCAGAATGTGATGCACTGCTTTTGGCTCCTCCAGTATTGAACGCTTTTCTCTGATGCACCGAATTCCCATTGTGCTGCCAGGTTGCGGTGCTCTTCGGCATACGCCATGACTTTTTTCCTAAAGCCTATCGTAAACTGACGTCGACTACCACTCACTTCTGAAGAAAATAGGAAAAAAAAAACCAGCAGACTGACAAAGAGAACTGGAGCAAAATGGCGTTGCTAGTACACTGTAGCCCTTGCCTAGCCTTGCCCAACCACACCGCTGTTGATTCTCACGTTGGCAATGAAGGCTTTAGACTGTAGCTACCCATTCTTGCGAGACTTCCACATTTTTTTCTGCCAATGACCGATATATTTCATCGTGTTCTTTTTTTTAATTTGACATATACATTGGTTTTTACAGCATGTGAGTGTGTGCAAATAATTACTTTTCACTTGATTCCCCAATACCTCAAAGTATTCTGCCTTGCCTGCACGTGTGAAATGGGTTGGCCGTACACAAGACTTCCTTCCGTCAATTTGTTTTTTTTTTTCTTTTGTTTCTCCAAATCAAGTGTCTCAAACTAGCCAATTTGTGTTATAGCAAAAGTTGTGCAAATATTTGTCGAATATGTATTGAATATTTCTATCATAATATTTGCATTCGATTAGAAAAGCACATATTGCAAAGTTTCGAATATTTGAAGTGACTCAGTAATATTAGACATTTTTGATTTGATTGATATGTCGGGTTTAAGATCCCAAAACCACCATATGATTATGAAAGACGCCGTAGTGGAGGGCTCCGGAAATTTCGACCACCTGGGGTTCTTTAACGTGCACCCGAATCTGAGCACACGGGCCTACAACATTTCCGCCTCCATCGGAAACGCAGCCGCCGCAGCCGGGATTCGAACTCGCGACCTGCGGGCCAGCAGCAGAGTACCGTAGCCACTAGTGGGGCATTAGACATTTTTGAAGATTTGATCGGATGTGTTATTGTAAAGAACTTCCGATTTTGTGCCTTTAAAATAACAGCATCAACAGTAGACAGTAGACCGTACAGTTAGTACAGACTTTAGGGCGAGTGCTATGATGGCTGCAAAGAAATGCACGGGAGCGTGATGAGGGCCAATGGCGAATTCGCCGGCACATTATCCCGACAAATCTACCAAAGATAAAAATTAACTGCCTTCTAGCCAATATGTGTGGCTCAGCGGTTTAACGCTGTAAAGCGCACTTAAGTGTACTGAACGCGCGCCATTTGCTGCCGCACCCAAGGGTGTGCATCGCTCGTGAAAATCAAGGAAACTCACAGAGATTGCCCTGGCCACACAAAATACCCATTGCACCTTTTGCACGATCTGGAGCTGATTGAGCACGAAGAAAAAATGTCACTGCACTAGGGCAAATGCATGCGTACATTACAGCGAGCGGCGCTGACGAAGTGAGCCTAGTAGGCGAAACACTGCACACAACTAGCTAGGGAGGCTCAGCTAGACGATGCAGCAGGAAACACGTAACACGTGTAGCTGTGCTAGTTTTCGCTAATGCATCACCACAAAAGCTAAGGCGTCTGCGCTCACGAAAGCATGACGCGTTCGTGAGCTGTGCTGCTCTGTCAGCATGCATTAATTTCCTGTACTATAGTTATGAAATAATTTGATGGTAGTGCATGTTCATGCAAATGAGCCGAAGCGTTTTTCCTGGCAATGGCAAACAAAGGAAAGAACATGCACTTTCGATAATGTTACAAAGGCGTCATCACATATATTTCTATGTTGCGAACAGTGGCGCACATAATTGGTGACGGAAATTTGAAGTTGCGTTACCGCGAAGTAACGCTGTGCATTCCCCACAGCGTTTTTAGGAATCCGTCATATACACGCATCACACTCACGTGGCAGCATCTTCTGCAATCAATCCTCTGTAACTCCATTGCTACAACACTGTTTTGTCAACGTCACGTTATTGCCTGCCGTCAGCAGCCAGTGCACCGAAGGCTGTTGAAATGCGGCGAAATAGTGCTCTCGCTAACGGGAGTAGTGGCTCCGTTAAAGAGTCATATTTGGCACGTCTTTCTGTAACAGAACAGTCATCATCTACATCGCCTGCCTTCCTTGCGTTATCGCCGCGCAATGACGAGCGTGTAGTTTTCGAAAAAGGGAACGAAAAGCAAGCCAGATAAGAAGTATTGCTGTGTATTTGCAAGACATCCCAAGTACTCCTGTTGGCTTCAGCGTGTTGACCGGTGAGAACCGGGGCGATAAAATCTGAAGTCATACGTGCCAAAACTGATAGTGTGGGAACCCGGAAAAGTGACCACCTAGGGTACTTGAATGATCGCTTCGATTCTAGTACAAAAGCGTTAACTGTTACATTTCACCTCATCAAAATGCGAATACATGGCGAAAATTACAGCAGCCGCCTCGTACTTACTAGTGATCATGGCAGGTACAAAAGCATTTTTCTTTATTGTATTAAGTGCAACCACTTAACAAAATAAGATAGCAAGAATTTGTTCAACCTGTAAATTGAATCCAAAACATCGCAGTCACAAGTTCAACTACAGTGTAGAACACTTATAATGTAACCGCTTATAATACAGAACTGGTTAAAATGCGATCTTTCGACTCCTATTTACCATCCTATAAAACACCATGTATAGGCCTACCGCTCATGTCCTAAAAAAGACTCTCTCCTCCTTTGCTGTCTGCCAGCGCTGGGAGAGCGGGAGTTATGTTGACCTTTCTCACCCGGATGTCGACCGTGGCACTGGGCTCGAGTCTCCCGGGACGTTTTGTGCGCACGTGTCGGGAGTCTGTTGGAAAACGTTTGGGTCGACAATGAGTGCACACGCACTTCTCTTTCGTATGTCAGCTCGTTTTGTTTAGGGCTCGCTCGGACTTTGCCAACGGCGCCTTGTGCCCGCGGTGAACGCTTGGCTTTCGTTGCCCCTTTCTAATGCTAGGCCAAAAGCAGTGCGGCGTCTTTGCGCGTGGTCCTGCTACGCCGACCCGTACCTCTTGAAGCCAACGCGAGCAGATAGTGCCCTGCTCGTGCGATCGGGCCCTATTGCCCCTGATCGTGAGAGCAACGCAGCACAGTCGCAAGGGCCTGTTTTCCCTCAGCGGCGTGTCACCTTGCATCCCTTTTGCCCACAAAGACGTGCTCGGGGCACCCTTTGTGTTGTACTTTTCACCTGTGGCAGGGATAAGCCTCGTTTGCTTTCCCCCTGACCTTTGCAATGGGCGGTGTACTGCGTTTTCGGTGTTACTGCAGGTAATAAAGTGTTGCGACCTGTTTCAGAGCAGTACTGTGTACTTTCCAGGCTGCGCTCTGCGCCTTGGCTGCTGTCCGAATGCACGTGTGCAGCGAGGTTAGTCACGCGAGGCGACGGTGATTGCGGCCTTGTGGCTCGCTAAGATCAAACCCACGCTAGTGGCCGCACTCCTTTGGGATACGCTGCACACCACGCCGCTTATTGTACAGTCCCCGAAGAAGACCGGTTATAACGTGGTTGCAATGCTGTCTTTTACGACTCCCGTTTACCCTCCTATAAGACGTCACGTACAGTAGTGCAGTACCACTTCTTGTGCGTATATTCGCGACACCCGTGACTTACGTTATAAGCGGCATTTAGCGCAGCCATACGCTTCCTGCAAGTGCAGATGGTGGCGTTTTTTTTGTGCAGTAACAGACTGGAACAGTGAGAAAGCGTACTGTTTTCAACAAAATAAATGGTAAAGTAAAACGTTACTGGTGAAAAAAAGATGTATTGCTTGATTATTCTATACTTAATTTTTATTTAAAAATTGACATTCACACACAACTAGTTATAACGTGAGCATAGATAGCATCACTCAAACAATTCACCAAGAGTAAAAATGAACAGCATTTGTAAAATAATGCTGCACTATTTCAAGCGAGACCTGCGGTTCACAAAATGCAGAGCATTTTTCTCCTCAGCTCCATTTAGAATTCCCTGTTCAACAGATTGGCATGCAGTGAAAAATTTGGGCTGCGAACACAAAACTTGTAAGCCTGCCTAACCATGCATTTTTGATTAACATGTTGTTCACATGTCAATTGCGGTAACTGTCTGCTTGATCCTTTCAAAGTTTGGCAGCCCTGAGCATCATTTCTCAGTATGCGAAATTCTCACATAACAATATTAGGTCAAAAACTGCGTCATTGTAAATGAGGGTTCACACACCCCAGGCACAGGGCTGCGCCGGTGGAATGGAGTGGAAGGTGCGCTGTTGCTACCAGTGCCACCTCGCGAAGAAGGCTTTGCCTGGCTGCCAAGGGAGGAATGTGCAGGGCTCTTGTCGGCACCGGGTTTCTTGACAGAGGAAGCTCCTGACGGGCTCGGAGATGGGCCCCGGCTGACCAAACTTCCAGTGCCCGACGTGGCAGAAGCCGCACAAGGTCGAGTGCTACGATTACACCTGCGCATGACACAGAGTGAACATACAATTACATATGCGGTTCAGGTACAGACGTGGTTCACTGTTGAGGTCTTACCTTTTGTGGATTTTGTTCTTACCATTCTCTTCTCATTGCTAAAATCTTAAAACATAATCTGGGCTGAATCTTTCAAACTTTGCTTGAATGTAACTTCAATCGTAGGGAAGAGAAAGTCGCAAACAGGAGAACCACTTTCACACGGTTCCACATTCCAAAGCAATACTTGAGCTATACTGAATGTGCTCTAGCGAAGGGCTCCGGGCAAATGCCGTCGGAACAGATTCCTTTATCGGGCAGCTGAACTAAACTGTAGACGTTTGCAGCATACTAGGATCAAATAAGTGACTCAATGATCATCACTAATATGTCACATCCACTGAACCATTACGATGGTTGAGAGAGTTTGAGCAGCAACATGAAACATACCTGAAACAGAAGCAATGCGTCTGCCCACACGGGTCACAGAACTCCCAGCTAGCACCAGTCTCTTCATCGCATGCCCTGGACACCAGAGAGTCTTGCCACGTAGCCACTTTCGCCTTCTGCGCAATGAATGCACTGGGAGCAGCGTGGGGTCCCATCGGCAGCTCGGGGGGCACCAGCCGCACCGGTCGCGAGGACTGTGACGTCCCAGCGGCACCACTAGCAGTCCTTGCCGCCATCATCGCACCGTGGAGGTAGCCAGGCTCACAGGGTGATGTAGGAGGCGTCAGAACGGCTGTTAAACCAGGTGGGATACCGGGCTTGATGCCAGCCGGAAAATTGTGTGGCCGAACAGGTGCGGCGCCATGCATGCCGCCCCCTGCGCCGAACGGCCCACTTGCTGCTGCTGGAGCAGGAGTCACAGGGGTCGTGCCTTGAGATGGCTCCGTCTGCTGTCCCGACACTGGTTCATCGCTTTCAGCGATGAAAACGTAGCATGAAGGATACCGCAGCTTGACACCACCTACAGAGACACCCATTCAAGAAACTGAGCCTTTACCAATTGCCTCCTTTTACACTCTGGTGCACAGGCAGCATAAGGCAACATTGACAACTACATTTTGGTCATTTGAGTAGCCATATGCAAGAGTGCCACAAACGTAGGACTCTTTCATATGGTGAATAACAATGCAGCTTTAAGATTAGACAGACGTGGTTTCATCACTACCAAGTGAGCAGTTACCTATTCATCGTTGCTCGAAAGAGAAGGTAAAAAATTTTCACTTTTGTGCAATCTTCTGTGCTCTCCACAGTGTTTTCAAAGTCACTGAAACAGCCCTACAATAGGCATAAAACTATTGTTAGCTTCCCATTTGCATTACTGGGCTAGTTGGTCAAGATCATGAGAGAAAGAAGAGTCGCTCATTAATTACAACTAAACTTATTCATTGCACATAGGGTCACCTTTATGGAAAGTGAGCCCGAATACTGAGATAACATGCTATGCTTATGATTGTTCTTTGTGTGTTTTCTTCGAAGTCGTATATTTGTTTTGAATGAATGCTATTCTATGGAAACCATAATAGGGGTGATCAAGCCTTAACAGAAGCATCGGTATTCTCTCTACTAAGTCGAGACAAAGGGCACGATGGAGGAATATCACAGAATATAGATCCCAATTATCCCTTACATGCATACGCACCTACAAGGACCTCAAGGGCACATGGCAATGGTTCTTCATCACCGCTTGAAGCGGTTGCATCACTCCGATGGGCTGAATTGTTGAGAAGAGGCAGTGGATAGAATTGATGCCACTCAGCCAACAAGGTCTGGGTGGACACATCATTCTCCTTGAATCCCTGGCCTGTCAGCACACCGGCCAGGCCATAGGGTCCCAGAATCACTGGTACACAGAGCAATGAACGAAAGAAAGAAAACATTAAGAGGAGAGCCAATGACCATTATGAATATTCGCGTTAAGATAAAACCAGGGAGCCTACAATCCGAAAAGCAATTGACTGCGAGAGAAGTTATTAATGAATATATATGCCCTGTGAGCAACAGGCAGCAATTTTTATTTTGCATTAGGACTTGAAAACGTTAGACATCATCAGGCATGCGAGCTAACATGGTTTGCTCACCTTTACATGGGCTTTGGCTAGCAGACTGTGCAGCCAACAAGTGCTGCCTAGAGATACGATGAATGGGTGGGTGTTGCCGCACATCAACGCTGGCACACACCGTGCTGTCACCATGTACGAAGAAGTGAAATGAAAATGAAAGCTGTGTTCCACTGGAGCCCCTGAAAAAAAGGGGGGAGGGGAGATAGTAGAATGAAGATAAGAATGCATATTTTGACAGAAAAGTTTCATACACAAAATATTACAAAGTTGCACCAATTGTGTTATGTTCCCAGTTGTGCTGCCATGTTTGCCCGTGCTTGAAGAGAGCGTGACATATTCATTTTGATATTATTACAGATAGAAAATTTAATTAAGGATAACAGGCATCAACCACCTCCTGATAATGTTTTGATTTATAGACTAGACAGAAATTTTGCATTGCATTCATGGAGAAGAGCACATTTTAGAAGGACAAGATAAAACATGTTTTTGATATTTTTATCTAATAGATAACATCGAAACAAAAACATTTGCAAAACACAAAATAAAGCTGTGCTAGACCTCGAACGAAACAGGCAGCTCTGGCAGACAGCAGGGCCTAGTTTAAGGTGTACCCAATCTTGACCTAATTCAGTACATAAACCAAATTTTATACAGTCACATTTGTTTTATTTTTTTCCTCAAAGACATCTTCAAATTGTTTACGGCCAATGTGTGAAAGAAAGCAAACAAATCAAAGCACTATTTTTTAGCCCAACCAAATGAAGCCAAAAAAACAATTGGAAATACAGTTTATGTTTAACTAAAAAATTTACGTATACAGTTGTGTAAGTGCTGCACTTCTTTCCCGCTATTTTGATGGTGTGTGGCCCTTCCACGGAAGTGTAAAATTTTTGTTAAATTTTCTGTACACACCTAATGATTAGATATCTGGCATCTAGCTGCAGACAAGGTCACTAGATTTCTTCATCGATATCGCAGCTTCGGCTCAGCTCGTTGCCGATGCTTGGGTCATCCGCACGTTCATGTATCTCCAATCATACAGAGTGCCATTCATGGTATCGGAAATCCCACTGAAAATCCCGGGCCCGAAGCTCACGGATAGTACCACATGACAAAGCCACAGGACAGCTGTTGCCTCTGGTGGCTCGCATAAAATGCGCCATATGCGAGACACGACGCCGCCACCATTTGGTGGTCCCCCCTTACTCCCCCCCCCCCCCCCTTGAAATTTGGACTGCCAAGTTGGGAGAAGTGGCTCTTAAGAAGTGTAGCCTTTAGTGGAGTGTACATGGTATGATATGTTTGATGTTTCTATTAGTGCCCCCTTAATAGGGCCAACATTAAAAAAGGCAAAAATCAGAAGTCCTTACCCCCTATCCTTGTCTGCGCTATCGCAGGGCTGTAGAAACCACTTGCCCATCCTGGTAAATCCTCTTGATAACAGGCACCTGCAAGTGAAAAACGGAACGGATTGACCACAGAAACCATCATGATAGTAAGAAATGTTCAGAGCTGGTGATGATGATGTGCATGAAAAAATTTGTGAACTTGTTGAGAAATGCCACTGCCCGAGAGCAAACAAAAACTTCACTTATGGTTACGAAATAATTTGGTCAAGCAAATTGCCCAAGAAGAAATCCAGAAATGTTTAGATTCATTCAACGATTGCATGGGTGACACCACAAGCATAAAGCTTTAACTTCTCTTGGGTGTTTCTAGATTTCATGCCATACATAGATTCAACAATAAAATGCACCCACAAAAATTTTTCAGCATGGTGAGAAAACGCTGCTGATTGATAGTCGAGGGTCCTGAGAACAAGCGAGCCAAACATCAGAACACAGCACCCAGCTTGGAATTGTCAATCTCCACATCAACTAGAAATTGTTCACTCTTCTTTCTACAAGTGATGCCACATACCCAAATTCATGCCATTGGATAATTTGACCACTATACGCTGATCAATTATAGTGGCTGCAGCAAAAGGGCACCAAGTGCCTGTGCGCTTGCAATCAATCGCACAGAAAGTAGGCCGCGCATTCGAAGAAAAATAAGAAAAATAAGTGCTCAAGCTCATGATGTGCATGTGGCACAACTCTTCCACTGTGCTCTCCCTTCCTGCTTAGCTTCCAGCGCACTCGTTTGGATGAGAGAAGAGAGAAAGCGATTACAGCGTGCTACAAATCTGTGCAACTTTGCTCATATTTGACGAATTCTAACAATTTTTGCGGCGGTCGATTTGCGAGACAAACTCCTTTGATAAAGCTACTTGACGGTTACTTCTAGAAGTGTTTTGCAGGGCCCCTTTGACAGTGTCACAATGGTTATACAACCAATTAATATAGCAAGTTAGTTAATAACTGTAGCATTTGGAGAAGGTACTGCATCACCCCCTCTTTTTCTTTTTTTTTTTTAAGTTAGATGCACAAGCAGATGCCAGCAACTTGCAAAGGAGTTAGCTTTTTCATTTTTCTGAGCAATGTGAATAACACTATGGGAAGAACAAAGCATTCAAGAAAACCCAAAATCCTTACCGTTATCAACATCATTTGAATATGCAGGCATTTTACACACTTTCAGAATATGGTGGTATATGCAATGATCGAATGAGTTGTCCGAATAAGATTAACTGGCAAAAGTTCACTGGCACAGGCCTGCACACGCCGAGGCCTTCATGACAAGTAGTGTTTTACTGGTAAGACCATACCTTTGTATAAGGTTGTGTAGAGCTTTGAACAATAAGGAACGGCACTCGTAGGAGAGGCCATTTTCCCAGCTGCCTTGCTCCGTATCTGTAAAAAAAAATATTTCACTATCATGCTTGGATGGCAGAAAAATGTGAAAGAAAAAAAAAATGCTATAAGCGTGTAGAAGTAAATTACGTAGTTCTAGGCTATGCTTGCATGATGACACATTGAGTAGACTGACCAACAAGAAATGGTGTTTTTTTGCAGTGTGTGTATTTTTGAAAATTCCACTTCTATACCTTGACCACACACAAATGGCTGAATAACACAACAATAAACAGGCTTAAAGCCAACGCTTTAGTGTGACATGCCCAGATACTGTTCACTACTTGAGGAGAAAGTTTTTTTAAAATTTTAATTCAACACAAATAAAATTCATAAAACAATCTTTGGACAAGTTGTTTAAACGCTAGCAGCTGGTTAGTTAAGAACTGTAGCATTTGGAGAAGGTACTGCCTCACCCCCTCTTCTTTTTTTGTAAGTCAGATATCAAATAGACGCGCACGTCATCCAAGGAAAATAAAATGAATACACGATATTACCAGTACCAACATAAAGTCTCGTTCCCTCCTCTTTTCTTACTGTACAGTTCATATATTCACTGGCCCACAATGTACAAAATTGCGAAGTCGCATAACCTCTATTTTTTCGTATGTCACAGTAGGAACTGGAAGTCTGTTAATATGAGGCCATATATGCTGCATCCGTGTTGCCATTCTCCACATAAGCTACATTCCCTGGTCATCATTTTGCCTATTGGATTACTTGGGCCCATACTCACCAACCAACTTTATCCTTAGTTCTTGTTTACGTTATCGGTATTATGCTTTAAGTTTATTTGACAAACAATGTAGGTTGATGCTCACAAGCCAATATTGCAGTTATCTTTTACCCAGTTGCTGTGTTTGTGCCATTATCCTGTCCCTAGTGCATACTTTAACAAGAACTTTGAACTATGGACTACTACAACGCAATCGACAAAATTGAAATCGGCTTGTGTCAATGAAGCTTTTCGAATATGGCTACATTCTGTGCGATGGTTAGAATGCTTTAAACCGTGAGCAATTATGCACTTGAAATTTTTTTTTTTAGCTTGCTATGCACCCACTACCTTGTCTTAAATTAGGTACTGACACGAAAATTTTCATCTCTTGTTTTCTTGCGTCAAATGAAAGGCCAAGCCCCGAAGAGCCTAGAAAATGTGCTATGCTCGAGTGCACGCTGAAAAAGTAATTACAAAATGTTTTCAAATGTTGACATGAGAACATGGTACGAGTTTTTTATCACGTTCTCACGCGAGAGATGGTGACGTTTCCAAGACATCGCTATTTTGAATATTTTTGCAACGCACAAACGGCCATCTTTGTAGTTTCAGTGCCCAATGTCACCAGAAGTAGCCACACTACAACATGAAGCCACCAGCATTAGTGCTGTGGCCATACGCCAATCTATATAGTGTGGATTTCAGTGGGTGCACCACAGCAAAATTGACCTTAATATCAAAATAAAACACCTTTTCAGCATGCGCTGAGCATCTCCACTTGCTCAGAGTTTTCTATGTATATAGGAGATTTCCATGGCAAAGTAAACTCAGCTTTGAAAAAAGGGTGTCAGTATCCCTTTAAGCGAATACACGCAGTAACTTGTGTCTTCTGTAATGGGTGGCCCGCTTTAAACCACGAAGTCATTATGACAATCACATGTTCCAATGCCCGATGCCAATGTGTGCTTGCACCACAGAATGTTGCTGGGATATTACATGTATTTAACAATACATGTAATACATGTAATTTCCAAGCAGAGAAGTTCTTTTCACCATATTTCCAAGCAGATGCGTGGCTGTGTGGTAGAACGTCTGCTTGCCATGCAAACAGCCAGGGTTCCATCCTCACCTGGAGCCGGAAACTTTCATTGTTTGTTTTACTTGCATCTTGCTCGATTTTTCGGCCCACGCCAACACCATACATGTAAAGGTGTCGCCATGACATGTTGCTCATGGCAGCCTGCCTGTGGTTTCTGGCTTTTTGAAAGTAAAAGTGGCAAGTAAGCAAACAAAGCTTACTTAAGTAAGCAAACATCAGGCGGCTTTGGCAGAAACATGCACGGTCATTACCCTGCACATTGAGTCGGGTCCGAATGAGTAAAGCCACGTGTTGGACCACCTGTTTCCCTCGCCTTTGTGCACGCCTAAGGAAAAGTTGCACATACTCCCAGAGAAATCTCGAGTACAAACGCTATCGACATGAGTTTCCCTACCATCTGCGTGGCAGAAATTAGCATACTCCTAAAGGAAGGAGTGCTCAGACGCAACAATACTAAAACACGCGAGTGTGGGTCTCCCGATTTGGATGCACCCCTCCAGCAGCTCCGGTGCGACGGACCAATTTTGGGCCGCCTCCGAAGCCGGCACATTAGAGAATCCGCTCAACCGCGCCTTCCTTTCCCAACCACGCAAGCAGGCGACATGCTACCACCAGCCGGTGGCCGCGCGAGGCAGTGGTGTGTGTGTGTTGTCACGTGACACGACACGCCTCCACTTCGGCGACCCCTTTCGGCCCCGAGTCGCGCGCGCGGGCGGGGGAAGTCTCCCGGGCCAACATCCCTCCTCGCCACTGCCGTTTCTTCGCGGTCCGCAGCAGGCCCGCACGCTACGCATCGATTGATCCGAGGCTCCCCACCTCCGTCCGCTCAACGTTGCTGTTGCACCGCCTCGCGCATTCTCGTTATTTCCCAACTGTCCAGCGGCTCTTACTTTCCTCCGGGGCTCAACGGGCGTCTTGAGAAACGGTCGCAAAACCGGGAGCTCCGTAATTGCTGTCCTTCTCAATGGATGCGAGTGCGGCCTCCGATGTGCACTCGAAAGCGCGAGCTTTGTGAACTTCTTTCAAGGTCATTCCGTTCATAATTGAAAAAGAAAACATACAGCGAGGCCGAATGAAGTACTGAATGAAGTACGCATACTCATCCCAAAAAAAGAATCGCGCTGTGTGAGGTAATCGGAACAGCATAGAGTGACGTCTTCCGTTATCACTCTTACGTCCTTACAGACTGTATCGATTCCGAGCTGTCAACAAGGTCCCAACAATCAGCCTCGTTACACATTAAAAATGGGAACTCCTCGACAATTAACCTTGAAACGAGTAATCTTTTTGCTCGGCACTGCCACACACAAATGGTGGATGCCGCTAAACGCCGCACAAAGTTCTACCACCCCCGCCGCGTTGGACCAACGAGACGTTGTCGGACACGACTCGCTGCTGCTGCCACAGGCGGACCCGGAAACGACCACAATCGCTGCACGCGGAAGCGGCGGGCGGCGCTACCTCCCTCCTCCCTCTTCTCGGGCAACGGCGCACCTCGCAGTGCTCGTCATCTATCGACCGGTCGCGAAGACTCGCGCACCGCCACCCACCCTCCCCGCTTTGGCAAGTTGGCCCGTGCTGCATTTGGGCGACGTCACGGTTACCGAAGCACCATCGCGGCCGAGCGAACGCACCACGCGTGCGCGCCAACAGCGACACCGGGCGGGTAAATCTGTTGTGTGTGTGTGCGAGGGGGGGTTTGAACGTGAGCGGAAACTGCCGCGCAATCGACTGGTCGGGGTCCCTCGAACACGGGGCCTCTATTTGCGCCGCTCCTGACTGATGCGCATCGTGCGAGCGGAATTTCACGACGATCGTTTTCAAAACATACCTGTGCGCGCGACCTTGCCAGCCCTCCTTTCCCCTCGCGCGCTTGCACGAGCGGACCCCCGCATGTGGGTCAACCCGACGCCTCCTCTTGGTCAACCAATGCGCGCGTGGTTCTTCTCTCTGTCCCGCCGACGGCTTCACCCCCCCCCCCCCCCCCCCCCATTCTACGCCTCGGCTACGATCGGGAGCAGTACCGCACTCGGTGAACGGCAAAGCGACGCTAACAGTGAAACACGACGCCTCCAGCCTTGCAAATGTATGCATACACGAGCGAGCGTTCAATTACGTCGAGGACGCGTCGGCCAGCGGAAATTCCTCTCATCGACGCGAGCGCGCGATAGGGTAATAGAGATCGATTAAATTTCGAGGCGAGCGAGTGACTTCGATCACGCGTGGCGACACGGCGAGGCTTGTCGCCACGCCCGCGTCGTTCGAAGGGAAACCCTGCCCGTCCCCGGGGGCGTCGCAGAGGCCTCGAAATGGAGCGCAGCCGATTAGACGGCTTGGGTTTATTGCCATGAGCGACGGAATTTTCTTCCTCGATTGAAAGTATTTCTGAAAAATACCGGCAAGTTTGATCCAAGGGGTCAGTCCGCTTCTTGAAAGGACTGCTCACGCACTCTCTCTCTCTCTCTACCCCCTAAACGGGAGCAGGCCAATGTCACTCGTCTGCGGTATGAAACATACCGCCTGGCGCGCATCTACCGGGAGACGAGTGTTGCGCGGGGCCCGACCCACTTCAGGAGAAAACGCCATGCACCACCGTTCCTTTCATAGGCGAGCGAAAAGGAAAGGCGGCCGCCGGGTTGACGACCGGGCAAGAGAAAAAATAAAAGAAACAGCGTACGCGCGGTCCCGTTTGCGCCAGTGGGGCGAGACCGCCGGCGAGGCTCGCTCCGGTGCGTTCACCCCAACGAGCCCGCACGCGGCCGCCGGGCGTAGACCGCGCGCCGCGGGAGCTGATGTCGCCACCCTCCCCCTACTGATCTTTTTTTTTCGCCAGTTTGGTCCACTCTGACCTCGGCAAGCTCGCGACTCCACACAGGGGGCCGCAAGACCCTCGAAGGCTGCCTCAGCACCCGGGTGGCCAGAACTTCATCATCGAGAAATAAATGTCATTCGCTGCCACCGCGCGTGCCTGCACTGCGTGCCAAACAGACGAGGTTGGGGGTCGTCCCCGCCGAAACCTCGTCCAAGTACGGTAGAGAGACGCACAAACAACCAGGTCGACGCGTGCCACGGGTGGAGGAGTATATCAACCGCGATCGTGCCCACTGGGTCACTGCCCTTCCAAGGCAGCGGCGTCGCGCGAAGAGACGTCCAGAACGGGGGAGGGGGCCCAGGGAACGAACC